AGTTGGTCAAATTCCCATGGTTTTTTTTTTGGGGGGGGGGGGGGAGTCAAAGGGTGACAGTGGCAGATCAGAACACACTTCAGACATTGTCGTCATCATCCCCCCCACCTGTGAACAGACTGCTTGTAGGGGGGCCTTCAGACGGCCTTTTGGCTCATCACTTCCGCACATGAACTTCACGATTGATTTTTTTCCAAATCCATATCAAGTTTTTCTTAATATATATGCAATGGACCTTAACAGTCCATTTTACATCCTTTAAATTCATAATTTCCTACTCCATCACGGGTTACTGATGAGTGCACTGACTCATCAGTAAAACAATAAACAGTTTTGAAACACGCTTACATAGGACTGCTTTGCTCTTGTTTTCCTGTAAAAAAAGTTATACAGGCGCAATGCATCATGGGTTATGTAAAATGCTTGGACGAACTAGTTTCCCTTTGGTTTCAAGTTCACACGTGTGGACTGAAGTGAGGGAATCAAACTTCTTGTTAATGAAACAAACTGCAGCTTTCCTATGTCCAAACGAGAAGGCAGTAGGCTCTTCTCGTCTTCCTCCGAGGAATCTGAGCACATCTCGTTACACCTTGATACCTCCTAGCGAGTGCTTGCGGAACAACAGGCGGCCCACGGCGATGGCGGGAACGTAAAAATGCCACCAAATGTTATCAAAGTACAGTATATTCATAAAAAAAAGTTCATTATTTTACGTGTAAGTCCTCGTGAGTGTGGGGTGTGTGGCAAGACAACTTCACTGTGCCTCTTACCTTCAAACAAGCAAATCCAGCGCCATCGGTCCCCCGAAGCTTCTGGGCTTGAAGGCAAGTCGAATTCTCCTTCCTTCCTTCCCCTCGGACAGTCACATTTTGACTTCAAACGTCTTCACTTCTCAACGCCATTCAAGTCAACACTGGATGAGTTGCACAAAGAAGAAACTCGACGACTTACACGATTGCGTTTGCTGCACTGCAGCTAAGCTAACCCAGTTAGCTTCGGTCAACTGCTCTTCCATTCCAAGCCAAATTAACTCAATTTAAGACATCTGGACGAAATGGAGAGTTCATTTCGACCGAAAGAAAGTCCCAGACACACGCAAACATACTCTGTCGTTTTTTCTTCGTGCGTTCTCATGACCTCGTGCAACTACTACTTCTTTTATGGCGGTTGGCAAACAATGTGCATCACCGCCACCCACCGGTACAGAGTGCGAAGCAACTAACGCTACAAAGACACCTATACAACCTGCCCTCGTGAAGAACCCCCACCAACATCAAGTCCATGTGTTCCGCTCTAACCAACCGATTCGTCATGCCCAAAAATTGTGTCGTTTGCCTCTACTATCGTCTTCCACTAACTTGCCACTTCTCTTCTTCACATTCGTCACATTCTTTGACTGTATGGCACATTAAAAAAAACCACACAACTTTTTTTGTTCACCATTGTGCACCTCTAGGAACACAACTGAGAATTAAGGCGCCCCTAACCCAGGTGTAGCACCATCCCTTATTGATCTGCCGCACTCCCCATACTCATGCTCTCCTCCACAACTCCCTCATGTAGCCCACCACTTTTCACTCTATTCAAATTCACCACGTGTCCACCTCCGTCTTTTGAAGCTGCTTCAAATGGTCTCCCATAAGTACACCATAACTCACCTCAGTTACCCGTCCAACATTTATTTTCCTGACCAGATAAATCTCTTTGCTACAGACATTTTTTTAATTAAACATTTTTTTTCAAATTGCTTCTCACTCCATAACAACATCAATATCAACATGAGTAAACAGGGGCGCACTGGTGACAGCGATAAACATTTGTATCCACCGAAAAGAGCAAATTACAAATGCAAAAACGAAGACAAGGTAAACAAAACAATAAGGATATGACTTGTTCATTTTCCAGCAAATAAAAAGAAAACGAAAAACAAACAGATGATGACAGCACATGACATCGCGGCTGTGTGCCGATGATGTCGCTCTGTGTGACAAAGCAGCTGAAAAGAGGTGATGCTTGTTTTGTCATTTCCACAGGTGGGTAAGTCCTAGCCGAGGAAGTCGAGAAGCGAGCGGAAAAATGGAGGCCAGCGACAAGCGCGTGGAGTTGTTGAAGCCTCTCCTGGTGCAAAGCCTGCGCTTAGACGAGGAGAAGTGGCGTGAGCTAGTGAGCGTCAAGAAGCACCTGGTCTACTTGAACAGTTTCTTCAACACCAAGGATATGGTCAACCTGTACGTGTGGCTCAACGCTGACGGCGGCGCTTGCATGAGTCTAGACTTCCCCGTGGCGGGCCACAAGGTCATCTGTTTGGGCAAAACGCAAAAAGACATGGTGACCGCCGACAACATGGCTGCCACGATGCTGATAGAGGAGATCCATGCCGACGATGTGCTTACCTTCATCTCCACGCTCACTCAAGAGGTCAGCAAGCCGCCGCTTATCCTAATGCCTTCGCCTTGACGCCACCGCCGTCCTTGTCCCTGCAGGTGATCTGCCCGTTGCTTAGCAACCCAGCCAACGCAGATGGCTGGGCTCCGGGTGCGGCCGAGGAGATTCTCAACTTGATGGAGAAACTCAAGAACCAATCTCTCTCCATGAAGGCTCGCAAGGAAGGCTGGACGTTTCTGCCACTTCCCAAACGTCTCCATGACGACCAGGAAAGGTCAAGAAAGTGACAGCATCCTGCCTTCATTTACCAAAAGTTGCCACGTCACAAAATTTCCCTGTCTACTTGGATTGGCCACATTAATGTCGACCGTGGTAGAATCAGAATCATCTTCATGGGCCAAATTTGTAGTTCGACACACTGGCAATACACCACCAACAAGTAACGCAAACAAAAGCAACATTTAGAACTGAAATGCTGGTCACACAGTTCACACAGTCACGTGGTCTCTTCTCAAGACAGGAAGCCGTGCGACGTGAAGCTGCTGCATGGCTGCGAGTCAGTCATCATCGAGTGGGCGGGACTAGTATCGGAGTTCCTGCAGCAGAACCCGGCCCAGCCGCTCTTGGAAGGACTCAAACCATCCCCCTCAGAGGAGTTTAACTTCTGGAGCAACAGACTCAGGAACCTGCAACTCATCCTGCAACAGGTCACCATACGCCGACCCACAGGCTAAATGTCACACGAACATGCTAACATGTCCATGACGTGCTGGCACTGCGCACGCTCCCATCAGCCTAACATGACAACCTTATATCATAACATCACACTGACGTTCCAACATCAGGCTGACATTACGCTAACATCACACGTTTATGCTAACACCAGGCTAACATGCTAAGCTAAACTAACCACCAACAATACATCGCCATTCTAACCTCGCACTAAGGCTGTGTTCACAATGCGAGTCAACTGTTTATTTTTTACTATTGTCTTGTATGCATAACGCAATCATTAAAAATGTCCTTCATTCATTCACACATTGGATTAGTCACAAGTACATTGTCACCCAGGTCAGGTTAGTCGCTCCTATACCTTAACATGAAGTGCGTCAGCGAGCGCTCACCCGCGGTATACTTGTGACGCTGCAGATGTCGAGCGACAGCGCCCAGCAGGTGGCGTCGTTTCTTCAGTCTGCCCAAGGGGCCTATTGTGACACGTTGAAAAACATTCACGACGATGCCCAAAAAGGTAAAAAAACAAAACAAAAGTGAGGTGAGCTGCTGACGTCTGCTTGCTCAGCTAACTTCTGAACTCTCAGGACTGACTGAGGCCGAGGACGCAAACGACAACCTTTTGCCTCTACAGCATGAAGTGGAGCAACTGGAGCAATTGGATTACCCACAGGTAAGAGACCACGTGACGCCCTATAATAACGATGATGATGATGATGATGGAGTGGCTGTGACGGACAGCTGAGAGACAACATGGCCGCCGTGATGGAGAAGGTGCATCAGGTGTGGATCAGGTCACGCTTTCACTGCAATCCCTGCTGGATCGTCGTCCTCCTGCAGGAGATTTGCAACCTCTTCATCGAGCGGGTAGGCCGCCTAACCCCGTCGTGATTTGGATCGCCCACGAGACAAGCACTGATAACCCATGATGCACTGTCCTGACAGAAAAAAAAAAAGATTGCAAGTTTCCAATCCAGTTGGTTAATGAGGCGCACTTCAAAACAACAGATCTTGCCGGCAAAAGGCAAAGTCAGGAAAATCTTTTGTCACGGGAAAGAAACACATTCACATCGAATATAAAAGCTTACCTTGATCTGTCAAATTGCAATCATTTGACAACAATGGTGAATTTTCCATTTGAGCAACGATACCAAAGGGTGCAACCGGTGATGAGGAATGACTGGTCGGCCTATAAAAAGAGACATGCCGGTGGGCAAGGGCATGCTTGCCAATGTCACGTGACCGAGGTGAGCCGTGATGTTCGCAAGCTAAGCCCGTTTTTGGTAACAGGCAAAATAGCCTGAGATGGGTCAAAACGCCTGGATTTTGCTGCTTCACTCATATTCCATAAAGGCAGTATGAATCATGTTTGGTTTGATGGCTTGGCTTCCCCTTTAAGGCAGCCATGGCTTTAACAAATGTTCTTGTGTTGTCGTGTTGCAGAGCAGGAAGTTCCTGCAGGGACAAGAAGTGATGCGCGGCCTGGTTTTGGATCCCGCGCAGGTTCTCGATGATGTCCGTGTGGTGACCTTGACCTTGCAGACTCTCAAGGACAAATACATACATCACAGGATGCTCCTGGAGAAGGAGGTGAGCCCGCCGCACTCCTAAATAGCACTTCACCTTTCACACTCAGCCGGCTACCTTCAATTGGCTCACGCCCTTCTAGGGGCAAACTGTCAAATAGGAAATGAAAACACCGTCAAGAAGCATGGAGCAGACGCTCACAGTAAAAATAACTTTGTCTGGACACTCCCCTGGTTTGCATCTGTTTGTTGTGTTTTGCAACACGAAGCACCTATCCATTGAGGGAATAAAAGCACGACCGCAAAGTGGCCCCTGACCAAAAGTACGTTGTTGCTACCGGTTAACATGGCAACATGACCTCTGATGTTTGTGTGCAGGACGGAGGGTTACACAAGTGGGAGTTTCCATCTCATCTGGTCTTCTCTCGCTTGGACGACTTCCTGATTCGCTTGCAAAGCATCCAGGCAAGCGCACAAACCCACATGCACAGTATGGCCATCTTGAGAATTCCTTCCTATCCGCTATTTCGGGACCGATATTACGAGTCGGCCATTTTGTAGCGAGTGGAAGTGAGCCTCATAACGGTGTCACTGCTTCCCGTTGATCTCGACAACACTCACTGGCCTATCTTGGCTCTCTGCTTACCATCCATACCACAAGCCACACTTTATGTTCCGGCAGTTTTAGGAACCTCTTCATTGCCAAAATCTGTTCATTGATATGAGACAAGCGAATAGGATTTGTAACGCGAAGTGGATCCATTCATGAAGAGAAATGGCTATGCACAAAACACAAGGTGATGTGCGAACACCTCGTGTGTTTCCGGGGATATTTCAGGAACCATCTCGGTTCCAGGTCCACTTGATGAAAAGCCCAAAGAATTGTGAGCACACCTAAGAGATGGCGTGCGTCTCCCCAAACAGGAAGTGTACCGCGTGCGTCTTCAGTTCCAGCTGGAGCAGGTAGTGGTAGCCGGTGGGCGTGGCAGGCTGTGGACGAGTGCTGTGAAGGGCGTGTGCAACGACTTCCTCCACCAGCTGCAAATACTTGCCGACTGCAAGAGCGACGCCAGCGAGCCCGCTGATGGGGTGAGCGCGAGGTGTCTTCCTGACAGGCGGCCCGCTGGTGCACTCACTTCTCTTTCTCTTCCTCTTTTCCGCCCTCAGAGCTTTGGGCAGCAGGCCACTTCCTTCCAGGAGCACGTGTCCCACCTGGAGGCTCGCTTGGTGACCATCTTGCGAGGGACGCTTGACGAATGCTGTTTGCCGTCCGCCGCCGTCAAGGTGGTCACCATGTTCGGGCCGGTGCTGCAACGTCATGCCATCCGGGATCAGCTGCGTCCTCAGCTGTCCAGTCTGGTGGCCCTGGTCCTGCGAGAACTGGACCGGGTGCAGGAAATGGTCAAGAGTAAAGCCAAAAATCACGTCTCATCGAAGTTCACCTCGTCACCTGCCGTCACCCTCAGGTGGACCAAGCAACTCATGCTTAGGGCTCACAATGTCCTCCATAACTTCCAGAGTGTCCAAAATCTGTAAGTGTCCATCCGCACACACACAGATACACACACAGACATACACAGTCTACTTCATTTCATCAAATTGCGACAATTGTATGCGGCCCCCATCCCCTGCGGGTAATAGGAGTCCACTGTAGTCAGATACCTGAAAGATGAAGACTCAAAACACATTTAACGTGTGCGTGCATGCGTGTGAAGGTGTGTGGAGTCATCCGAGGTGGTGCGTCAGAAGTTCCAGAAGATCGCCGACCTGCTGTTGGAAATCAGAACTTCCGTGCGTCAGGAGTTTAGCCGCCAGCTGGACCGAGATGCTGCCGCCGTCCTCCAGCTTCCGCTTATCCAGGAGCAGCAAAGCATGCTGGAAATTCCCTGCGGACAGAAGGTCACCCACACATCTGCATTCGTCATTGTCATGTGTGATGCGCTCCGACTTTTTTAATGAATATTTTCGGCCACTCGGGAGCCCTCATGTCTCAGCCTGTGTAAGACTCTGTCCGTGTGCGTGTCCAGCTGGAGGCGCTGCTGAGCGACATCAAACAAGCTAGTTGGGAGAAGGATCTGGAGCTCCGCCCCCAGACAGCCGAAATTTTGCGGTGTGGACGTGACATCACCAAAAGTTACTTGAGCCTCACCAACATCGTGTCCTCCTACAACGAGGTAAGCACGCACACGCCTGCAGACAACGCGTACACGCCAATGCTTTTTGTGACGTGGACTGGTGGCCTTCCAGGTGGTGGGACGGGCTCTGCTGGTGGAGCTTCCTCTGATCAAGGATGGGTTGGAGGAGCAGAGACTGAGTCTGTTGGAGCTGCAAAAGATCACATGGACCAGTGAAGGTGACAAGGAAGTCACGTGACGCCTCACGGGATGCTCACCCTCATTCATCATTACCGACTCCCCTGTGACTATGATAGCTTTTTTTTTTTTTTTTTTTTTTATGGGTGACTAAAAACTCCATGAATCGTCTTCATACAATGGTGCCTGGAAAGTGTTTTCCAGGAAGAAAAATAACACTTGAAATGCACTTGATAAAACCATAGGCATCATGAAACACAATGACAAGATATTGGCCCCATTTTTTTTTCAATCGACATATTACCGCTGCTTCTGCTGTGCACATCTTACCCACCGGGGAAGTAGAAGTCGCATGCCGAAAAGTATTGGCCAAATGTGGTTTCATCATAAAGCAGGGAAAGTTAAAAATAATAATAATATTGGCCAGCAGATAGTAGCATCACAACTATGTGTCAAGATCCTAAAACATGGCGAACCCTTGGAACTGTGACCGCTACAACCAGCTTGTGATTGATCATGTTTAAGTCTACGAGTCCCAAAAGAAACGAATCATAACAAAATGAGTTTCAGTGGTTGTTTTATGGAGCTATCTGGGTCCACCGAATAAAAAAAAAAAAAACAAAAACATCCTGAAACCTGTGTTCAGGTGTCCACAAGCTGATGGAGACGAAGAGGCAGAGCTTGGTGGTCTTCTACACCTCTGTGAATGAAGCGCGGGCCAACATGGCGGCCATGCGTGCCATCACGCAGGTTGGTCGATATCAGCGCTCATAAGCACCCATATCTATTTTTCCAGCATGGTGTAATGCTAATGACGCCTCCAGGATTGGGAAGATCTTCCCCTGGTGAATCGCTCGGGTGATTTTCTGGAGAGGGGCGGAGCTACGGAAGAGAGCTACACGCGTGTACGGGAAGATGGCGAACAGGTCATACGCCTGGTCACGGTAAGGTCAGCTTGTGGGCTTAACATTTCGTTAGCGCTGTTGCTGTTGTACTGGAAATCAACATATGTTGACTGTTGTCCTCAGGAGAACTCGGTCCTGTATGGCGTGAAGGACGAGTCATCGCCCGAGTGGTCGGCCTACCTTGATCACATTGACCAGCTGGTGCAGGACGGCGTCCTTCAAATGCTGCTGCACTCGCTCAACTTCCTGTCGGAGAACATGTCACCTACGGTGAATGCACGAGCACACGCACACGCCTTTCACCTTCGTAATGGTGAATTTCGAGTCCTATGGCTCCAGTTGACGATACGAGGGATTTGGGCACTTGCTGTAAGGAGCGGGTCCACAAACTTCACACATTTAAAAAAAAAAAAAGCAACTGGATGCCCAACCAAAAAGTCGTTGCGCCAAACAGGTCATGGAAAAAAAATATCTTCCATGTAATCTGTCCATAATTTGTTTAATCGGTTCATGAGCTGCTATACTATGCTTAGCATGAAACTGACAATGTAGTTGAAATTGAAGCAGCCTCACAAGTGTACTAGTGCAAACTTGTAGGCCGCCTTTGGCATCAATCAGAAGAAGTTGCTCTCATTTTTCCCAAAGGTGAGCATCACGATCACGGCAGCATCACATGTTGCTCATTTGTTTTAGTTTCATCTTTCAAAAATAATCTGAGGAAAAAAAGGATTTGGAAATAAACTGGCGGCCCGGTGGTCCAGTGGTTAGCGCGTCGACCTCACAGTGCAGAGGTGTCGGGTTCAATTCCAGCTCCGTCTTCCCTGTGTGGAGTTTGCATGTTCTGCCTGGGCCTGCGTGGGTTTTTCCGGGTACTCCGGTTTCTTCCCACATTCCAAAAACATGCATGGCAAGCTGATTGAACACTCCAAATTGTCCCTAGGTGTGAGTGTGAGCGCGGATGGTTGTTCATCTGTGTGTGCCCTGTAATTGGCTGGCAACCGGTTCAGGGTGTCCTCCGCCTACTGCCCGAAGACAACTGGGATAGGCTCCAGCACCCCCCGCGACCTTCCAGGAAATTGGGCCAAAGACTGTGGTGTGCTGACTGTGTGTATGTGTGTGTGTGTGTGTGTGTGTGTGTGCGCGTGCCAGGAGTATATGGGTGGGGGTGCACTGCTGCAGGTGTCGCTGCAGCTGCAGCCAACAGGAAGCGTCTTCGAGCCGTCCCTGACTACCGACCTGACCGAGGTCTTCAAATCATTCGTCGCCGACATCTATGCGGCTGCCAGTCTGCCGCCCAGGATCTCCACCGGCCAAAATGGCAACTACCAGGTGAGCCGCCACTGTCGAGCATTAGTGTGTTGCGTTGGGCCGCATGGACGTTCTGTACTTCGCACGGCCACAGGAGGCGCTGCGGGACAACGACGAGCTGGCCGCGCTGGAAAAGGAAGTGATGCAGCACCTGCTTGACGTCAACGAAGAGGCGGAGCGCCTGAGGGCCGACCTGGACCGATTCTCGCCACTGTGGCAGAGTCACAAACGCGGCATCATGCAAGAATTCCTCACGTATGGCAGAAGGCTCGAGGAGGGCGAAGAGGACGTGGAGGAGTCCCCGCCCATGCTTGCCGACTTTCAACGAGAGGTGAATGCGCGCTCTCGCCTTTCCGTTGTGAGACTTCCTGTTTGAGATGCACTGATTGTCCTGTATCAGACATGCCTGACTTCTTATGTGAAACTTACCATCCTTCCTGTTTGAGATGCGCTAAACTTCCTGTTTCATTCTTTTTTAAGACGCACCTCTCTTTCTGCTTGAGATACGCTACGATTCCTGTTTGAGATATAGCAAACTTGCTGTTTCAGGCATTCCACACTTCCTCACCGACCCCTTTTTTTTTGGCTTGCCTTCAGATCAACGCCCTTCAAAAGCAGCTGTTGGAGGTGAGCGAGCTGGAGGACTACTACCTGGTCCACGGCTGGCTGCAGGTTGACCTTCAGCCTTTCAAAGACGGCCTGCGCCTCTTCATCCACAACTGGATCAGCTTGTACACGCAGCATCTCCTCAAGCTGGTCCGGCACAAGTAAACCACACGCTTCTTAGCTAACTTTTATTTCCAAAATCCTTCAAAATGTGGTACACACTCAAGTTTAAATATTTTCTGGATGAGCATATTGTCAAGTCCTGTTTTCCTGCATAGCACGTAGTTAAGGTGTTTGTGTGTGTGTGCGCGCGCGCTCAGCATGTCTCGGCGCAACCTTGACGACGAAGAGGAAGAAGTGGAGAAGTCTTCTGGCCGCAACTTCCCCATGACGGAAACCATCATGCTCCTGGAGACGGTCAATGTGGAAGTACCCGAAATCACCACGCTGCTGCAGGTGGGATGACGACATCATTGCGCTCTTGGGAATCCTTCGCTCTTCAGTCCCAGGACGGGGATATGCAAAGTCTACACAGCCCACGTCAAATACCAGGTTTTTGTGACGTTAAAAAAACAACCAAAAAAAAACAAACAAACAAAAAGAAACCAAAAGAATCCATTGGTAAACTTGGCCCACTATTCATTTGACCTCTAACCTGTGCAACTAGCCTGAAAAAAAGGGACAAACCTTTTTAAGCAGTGTTGCAGCACCTTTGGGTTATTTCACAACGCTCAGTCTTTTTGCGTGCCATGTCTTGATGTGGCAATATTCTTTGCAAAAAAAGGGTTGAAATCAGTCTGATGGCGAGGGCATCTCCTATGCATGTGAAGATTGAACGGTTCCTAATTCCTTCAAACTTCCATCTCTTCCTCCTGCTTGCCACCACCACATCTCACTGTCACTGTTCTTGCGGTGACCAGCGCTCTTGATCTTTGGAAATGGGGCCAAAAAGTTCAACTTGGCGTTCTTCAGACCGTCAAAAGTCTGTCTCACCCCCTGCCCCTTCCGTCTTGCAAACAGGGTGTGTACACTTGTGCAAGCACATTATTTCAGTGCTTTATTTCCACTTCCCCTCAGATTTTCTTTTTCAGTGGAGTTGTACAGGTTCTAGGTACCATTAAATGTGGACCGACTTTCAGTTTGATTTAAATTGACAACTTTGGAGGAAAAAACAACGCATTTGAACAGACAAGGGGTGTGTAGACTTTTTTCTCGCTGACCAAAAAAATTCTACTCGAAATCCCTCTGTAGTGATGGGAGACCAGTGACTGATTCCAAATGTAATGACTGCATTCAGACTGGTTCATCATTCCCTACTCCAGTGGACCAAAATCAGGGCTGTCCAGCCTTTTTTGACCGAAGATCTACTTTTTAAGCAGGCAACCTTTTGCGATTGACTCGTCCCTGCATGTGCACGCGAACACACACGCAAGCAACAACCATCCAAACATGAACGAAACAGAAAGATAAGCTAGACACGAATGGATATCAGACAAGCCTGAGTTTATGAACAGCAAAATTTATGAGAATAAACAAACAAAAAAATCGAGAACGGCTCTGATCGCTAGCTACATTTGCAGACTGCTGACGGCTAACAACTTCCTGTGATGCAGGTCATGTGACACCGGAAGTTAAAGGTGACCATGACCATCTAATATTAACACACAAAATCTTTTTTCTCATTTACATTTTCCCAGACACAAGCACCGCCCCCTCCGAGCGAATACTTGTAGCTGTAGGTACAGAACAGTCCCAATTTTTTTTTTTAAATAGTCGTGTGTATTTGCTCTGGAATGATTGTTAACAAAGCACTTGATGTCCATCCATGTTGTGATGTGTTTCAGAGCTGATGGCGATGCCGTGAGATGAATTAAAGAGCAGATCACATGATCGCCACTGCTGTTTTTAAAGTCACATGACTAGTGGCATTGCTCTGGACTGCCACCCACATATTATCTACAATGCACTTCACTGTCATCGACGGCGACGTCATCAGCTTTGGACGCGGCAACGGCAGATCAAAAAAAAAAAAAAAAAAAACGAAAGAAAACATGACGGCATAGAGTTTAAATAAATGATTTAATAGAATTTCTTTCATCAACATCCAGACCGGTGGCCATCTCGTGGCGGAACCCAAAGCGAAATAGGCACAAAGAAGATGAGGACGCGGTCCCGAAGGAGTACAAGTGTCTAGTGGCGGTAAACGCCAAAGGCCAGCAGGCTGAGGAAGACGGTGATGCCCAGGAGCGAAGCGGACGCCGGCGCCGTGAACAGGTGACGGTACTGGATCTGGCAATACCACAGCACGGCCAGCATGAGCACCAGCAGCGGCACCATCAGGCCGCCGGCGTTCAGCGCCACCCGGACCCGCTCGGCACCTGTCCCCACTGGTCCTCCGGGGGGCGGTGTGGCATGCTGTGAGACGTGGCAGTGCAAAACGCAGTTGTGAGCCAGGTGAAGCGTCTCCAGCGTGGCCCCGTCATCCTGCAGCAGCTGACCCTGGTAGATGAGCCGCACGCGACACTCTTGGCCCGCAAAGTACGTCCTGCAAAGGGCAAAAGACAAAAAAGGGGTGCATCGTGACGGGGCGTGGCCCAAAGACGCTGCCGAGACCAGATGAACAAAGGCCCAACCATGACTTGGTCGGGTTTGCCCCTTTCCGTATTTGGTCGGCCATCTACGAGTGCCTTTGATTTCCAAATTTTGTGTTGCGAGCTTTGGAAACGCTGCCAATTGCATCCGCAGCCCCCCTCCCCCGCCAACCGGACGAATGGTCAAATAGAAAATGAAAACACTCGCAATGAGAATGGAGATGGCGCTCACTCGCCCAAAAAGGTGCGGGGGGACTTTTCGGCTTGAGAAAAACTGTTTATTTCTCTACATTGCACTTTATGATGTTTTTGTATACATTGCACTTTGTTTTTGTATTTCCATTTCACACAAAGCTATTTTTCTTGATTAAAAACCTTGGTGGTGGCCAGATGGGATTCATGTCATTTCAATCCCCAATTGGATAAATTAATTTGATAGATGCAGCTAAATACATAGAGGTATTGAAATTGTGCGATCGGATGTGAGTTCCAATAGCAGGTATAGGTATTGCCCCAATAACAGCCTCAACCAATCCAATATTTGCTGAATAATTTGAGACAAAAATCTTGCTCTGATTGGGAGATTTGCTGCAAAATCAATGTCAAACCAGAAATATGCTGGGGTGCTGCCATGTCACCATCTTGTGGCATCAATGAGCACTGACTCAGTCTTTTCAATATTGCGCTCAAGTTCGGTCCTTCTCCTCACTTGATCCATAATATCTAAGCTTGCGGGCAAGTTACCTCTTGATGTAGCCAACAGTGTCCTGAGGTTTGACGTGTGCCGTCCTCTCTGTGTCGTTGAGGAACTTGAGTCTGAGCACCATGTTCCTCTGTGAGTCTCCGTCACCCCCGGCCGCTGGCCCCTCCCCCGCCCCTCCATCCTTGTGGTCATCGAGGGGTTGGGCGGAGGCGGCGGGTGGGTCCGGAAGAGAGGCGGTCTGAGGTGAGGTGGCGTCAAGCGGTCGCGGCTGCGGCGGGTCCGAGGTCCGGGTGGAGGCCCAGGCCAGCAACAGCACAGCCACCGTCGTCAGCGCGGCCAGCAGGATCGTCACCTCATCACCCACGCCCTCAATCAACGCCATTGCCGCCCACCAGGTAATCGCACGGCACCTGAACGGGGGCGGGGCATGGAACATAGCATTACAGCGGCAATTTGCCACAAACCTCCCATTAGATTTTCCCCAAACATTTTACTCAAACACTTAGAGCCACAGCTCGAATTCCCCCTCGTTCTTGAAGGCCCGTCCTATTTTCCGGCCGTCAAACAGCATTTAGTGCACCCGCGTGCACTAAACGAACTTCGCTTAAAACTGCGGTAACTGCCGTGTTGAACTGGCTTCATACTGCCCTTGTCACCAACAATCTTCCATCTGCGCTAGTGGCTAACTTGAGTGTTTAGCCCAATTGTGGGCGTTTGAACATCACCCTCTTTTTGACCCGCGGACGTGTCGAATTTTGGCCTACCAGACCAATCTGCGGACAAACACTTTAAACTGAAAAGTGTCCGCAGTTTTAATTTTTTTTCAATCTCCTTGTTCAAAAATGAGCGTCAATGATTCATGGCTTTTTGCTGTTCACGGTCGGGCCGGTCCTTGTTCCCCACAAATCACTTTATGGGGTCACTGTTACCGCGGTAACAAATTCACCCCAAAACACGCCCACCACCACCACCACCACCAAATGGATTGGCAGCAAGAAGTCCACTCAGGTTCCTCAGCCCTAAAAGATCAGTGAAGCAGACCTCAGACTTTAGTCCACTTCGGAAAGCATTTGGCTCGTCTTCCTAAAGCTTGCAGATCTTCTTTATAGTCTTTCTTGTCAGCCACCTTGCTCAGTTGCCCATTGACGTCACGATCATGCAAGGATGCTAAGAGGCTCAAAAAGAGCGATAAGCTACATGCTAACCACTAGCCGCGTCGTCCAGCGGGCCGGCCGGAAGTCAAGCAAAGTGCACCGGAAGACGGGAAACAGCTGCTCTCCGCGGCTCTTGTTCACGCGTGCGCAAGAACTACGGACGAACTTACTCTTCAGCTTCTAGCCGTCATGCCAGCTGTTAGCTTTTAAGCCAATCGTGCTAATGACTTCTCAAGCACTCACAACGCTTCTGGTTTGTCTTCTTCTATGGTATTGCCTGCCGCCGCCCACTGCTGGACGCTTTGTGAAACGTGTGTGTGTGTGTGTGTGTGTGTGTGTGTGTGTGTGTGTGTGTGTGTGTGTGTGCGTGCGTGTGCGTGCGTGTGCGCGTGTGTGTCTGAATGCTATATGCTTCTGTAAAAATCACCATAACTACATCTATTACACAGTGTTCATATTGCTATTTCGGACTGACTCGTCGCGTTAATTTTAATCGTAAAACAATATGTGGCATTTACAAATGTTATTTTAATTTACTGATAATGTAATAACCAATTATTATTAGTGGATTATTTTGGTAGGAATGATTGCCAACAATGTGTTTACGATTTTAAAGTACAGTACGGTACAAGATGGATTTTTCGACGTTTATTTTGAAAAGTGGATGGTGGTAACGTCAGCGGATCTTTGTGTGCATTTTCAGCGTCCAAAGCAAAGATGGCGGTGGCACGGGATCGAGTGGTTCGTCTGCTGATGCAGCTCGAGCGCGCCGCGTAAGTACAAAACAAACTTAAACAAACTAACGCGAGCGTGCGTGCGACGCAACCGACGCATGACGCGTACAGTGGCCTTTTTCTGTTCACTTTTGACGTCTTGTGACCTTGACGTCACCTCATGTAGTCAACATGAATATTAAATTTCGATTATGTTCAACATGTTTGTGTGTGCGTTTGTACCTCCACTGTCTTCATGGAAACGTGCTGCTAAAATGGATTACTGTTTTTAGCATGTAGCATTTACCATTGTGTGGAATTTCTCTTGTAGTTGAGAGGAGAGTGAATATTTACTGACGTCTCCATGGCAACATGCCCTTAATCACGTTGTGCGCGCGTGTGTGTGCGTTCGTGTGTGTGTGGGTGTACAGGTGCAGGTGTCCTGCTCACTCCAGCACTTTCCATCAAGGTAAGCATAAGAGTATTGATCAAAGTCTTGATTAAGGATGGTTATTGATTGAATATTTTTTTCACATATTGATCATAAATCAATTAATGTTCTTAATTGATCATCCAAAAAAGGCCATGGTGGGTGTACCACAAAAACCATTATTCCGCCCATCTTTCAAAGTTAGAATGAAGGATTGCGATTGCTCTTTGGCGCTATCTGTGACATCTGTGTGCAGCGGTGCCGTGCACCAAGCGTGAGACGGACTACGCCTTCGAGGTAAAATGAGCCGCCTTGAAAAGCACGGACGCTTCAGGTTCACCACGGAAAGAAGTCACTCACCATCTTGTTGTCATGGCGACGTGTTCTCCTTGAAGATGGCCAGCTCCAACATTCGATATGGGGAAGGAGTCAGCAGGGAGATTGGCATGGTAACTGCCACTGCATGGTGATCACACAACACATACAAATGCTCCTTCCCTACTTTCTAGTCACTACGCAGGGGTTTTTCGTCAACTTTGGACGAACTACCTCGGTCCGCTGCAGACAAACTTGTGTTTGCATTTGCATTGCAGGACCTGCGAAACTTGGGCGCTCGGAATGTGTGCGTGATGACTGACAGCAACTTGTCCGGCCTGCCGCCCGTCAAGGCGGTTCTTGAGTCGCTGGCCAAGAGCGGCGTGCCCTACAAAATGTACGAGGGCGTTCGCGTGGAGCCCACAGACACCAGGTGAGGCAAGCTCTGCTTCCCGGCATGGCACTGTCTGATTACTTACCTCGTTGCTGTTGTTTCGTAGCTTCAAAGAGGCGATCGCTTTCGCCAAGAAGGGTGCCTTCGATGCCTTTGTGGCAGTGGGTGGGGGCTCGGTGATTGACACGTGCAAGGCGGCCAATCTGTACTCGTGTCACCCCGACGCCAACTTCCTGGACTTTGTCAACACTCCCATCGGCAAAGGGAATCCTGTCACCGGCGCCTTGAAGCCACTCATTGCAGGTAATTGGCAATGGGAAATTGTAGCCATGGTGATGCTGCAACGTTGCCCTGAGGATGCTGAACTGTTGCCATGGTGATATTGCACAGTCGAGATGGAGATGCCACACTATTGTCATGGCGATGCTCAACTGTTACCATGGTGACACCACAGCGTCGGAATGGCGATGCTGCACCGTTTCCACTGTGACATCGTGGCTGCTGTAAACTTTGCACCCATTCTCCCCGCCAGTCCCGACGACCGCCGGCACCGGCAGTGAGACTACAGGCGTGGCCATCTTTGACTATGAGCCTCTAAAGGCCAAAACAGGTAAGGAGCACTCTTTGTCCCGCCCACTTCTGAATGGCAGTTCTCCTGTTGGTTGACAGTAAGTGAGCAAGTCCCTGAATATTTGAGCGCCTCGATCAGTGACTGAGTTTTTGTGCCTTAAGGCATTGCCAGCCGAGCCCTGCGCCCCTCCCTGGGTGTGGTGGACCCCCTGCATACGCTGAGCATGCCCACCAGGGTCGCCGCCAACAGCGGCTTCGATGTTCTCTGGTGAGCGGTCGCCCTCCGACGGCTTCCGCAGCCACGGAGCAAGCGCTCTCACCCCGCTGTCTTTTGTCGCAGCCACGCTCTGGAGTCATACACCGCCCTGCCGTACCACTGCCGCGCTCCCTGCCCCCCTGACCCTCTCAATAGGCCCGCCTATCAAGGCAGCAACCCCATTAGTGATGTGTGGGCGCGCCACGCCCTCCGACAGGTTGCCACGTATATGAAAAGGTAAAACAAGATTACGGGTATGTCGCGCGATAAACTCAAAATAGCTGCGACTTTCTGCAACACCCTCTTCAACTGTGTGCATGCGTGCACGGCGGCAGGGCGGTTGAAAACCCGGAGGACGTGGAAGCTCGCTCCAACATGCACCTGGCCAGCGTGTTCGCCGGCATCGGTTTCGGAAACGCCGGCGTTCATCTTTGGTGAGCAGTTTGTTAAGAGTGCCTCGTCGTACAGTCACTCAATGTCCAGTTCCGTTCCAGCCACGGTATGTCATATCCTATCGCTGGCAACGTCAAGACGCACAAAGCTGACGGCTACAATGTAGAGCACCCCCTTGTGGTGAGTGTCGCCATATATAGATACATGCACCAATTGCACTGGATGTCCTACTGTGTGTTTGTGTGTGTTCATCAGCCTCACGGCCTGTCGGTGGTTCTGACGGCGCCAGCTGTGTTCAGCTTCACAGCTCCCATGTGTCCGGAGCGCCACCTGGAGGCAGCTCAAATCCTCGGTACGTGTGAATCGAGTACTCTCAATGTGGTGTCAGCCGCAATCTGTATACGATCAGCACGTGTATGCGTGTCGCCTCAAGGTGCCGACATCAGTCGTGCCAAGCGAGCAGACGCGGGCGCCGTGCTAGCCGACACGTTGCGTCACTTCCTGTTTGACCTGAAGGTGGAGGACGGCCTCGCCGCCGTCGGGTACTGCAAGGATGACGTACCCGCGCTCGTCCAAGGAACCATCCCGCAGGTGGCAAACTCATCTCGCTTCCTCGTCTCCTATCCTGTCTGCTGTTGATAAAACATTTGAATGTCTTTTCAGGAGCGCGTGACCAAACTTTGTCCCCGCGAGCACAGCGAGGACGACTTGACGAGTCTGTTCGAAGCCTCCATGAAGCTTTACTGATGTGACTTCCTGTCACATCAACAAAGTGCCTTCAATGCTTGGCCAGAGCTGCAATCACAGCCGAGTTTATACACACGAATGACTTAAATTAGCACAACCTTTTTTTTTTTTTTTTTTTTTTTTT